TTCTCCTGCGAGTAGCTCCACACCTTCCAAGTCATGTCCTGTAAATGCAATCTCCATGACTTCGTCAATAGCGAAGTTGAATAGGAAAGGTGACAGCGGGCATCCTTGTCTCACACCGCTGGAGATACTGAAGGGTGGCGACAGCTTGCCATAAGCCCTCACTCTGCCCGTGCTACGCGCATATAATGCTTGGATAATATTTACATATTTCTCGGGCACACCTTTCCTGAGTAGACAATTCCAAAGGGCACATCGATCAACCGAATCGAAGGCACCTTTGATGTCGAGGAACACGACTACGGTGGGCCGCCAATATGTGTGACGGTGCTCCAACAACTGACGCAAGGTGAAGATGTGGTCGATGCAGCCACGACCCCGACGAAACCCGGCTTGCTCCTCACGAATCTGGCTTTCACGAGCGCCAGTCAGTCTGTGGAGAATTATGGATGCGAGTAATTTGGAGGCGATGGAGATCAGACTGACATACAAGTGCGTGGTCGGAGTCTACGCTCGTGCTCCAAATCGAGCGACAGTTTTGGACACAGCTCTTCTAACGGTAACTGATGGCGATGTGATAGATTTGGGTCCATGGCTAGTGGACGCCATGTCACTCTTTTGCGGGTGCTGTACCGAAAGTTAGTGCACGTTAGAAGTAGCCGAGCATCTTCACAGAGGTGCAGTATTCGCTAATCGTTATTATTACGGGAGACTGCATCGTGTTGGAGGCCCAGATGCAGCTCATCAGTGGACAAGTTTTCAACTTTGGCATTGAGAGCACCATCAAGCACCACGGTACCCACACTCTTTCTGAGACGAAGAAGCTAGTTCAATTGTTAAAAAAATTCATCTTCCGTCGAGTCAATGCTACAGTTTGTGGGGGGCGTAGGTCGCAATGGCAAACAGGCGCCTTTTGTCTCCGCGTGAGTTTGAAGCTTTGAATGAACCACCCAATCTGACGGCTGTTGACTGTGATCCAACTGACCAGGGCAGTTTCAGACCGCGGACTCAGCATAATGCTCACACGTGCTTGACCGGCATTTAAAGCCGTCCAGACAAGCGCAGTGAGAAAGTGCCGTCAGGGTTGCGAGCTCGAATCTTGCAGGCGGGTTTTCGACAAGCAGCAGATATCGATCGATAGGGTCGCTACTGTTTAGGTAAATGCTACTTATTGACCAAACTGTAACAAGGTGCGCATGATGGAGAGTAGACCAGTGAATAAGTCTTTGACAAAATGAGGTCACGCAAAGTGGACGCGCACCAGTTTGTGCTGGCGAGATGCAGTCAGCGTATGGTTTAATTTGATGTGGCACCTTTAAAAATTAAGATGCTGATGACGCGCATTCTTATCGATCACACACATGCGACAAACAACTGACTTGAGAGGGATAATATCACGTTAAATCGATTGGGGGTTACGTAGTAGCCAACGGGTGCGCTTCAAGCTACCACAACAGATGACATCCGGTGTATAGCTGGGATTTCATCTATGATACAAAAATCGATAATGTCATTAAAGATCTCGTGCAACAACGTAAAGTATGTTGCGGTAGTGTGTGGCCTATTCTTACGGGAGTCAAAGCTATTGAACTGTTCACTAGGCTGATTCCATGCCGGGACGCTATAAAGCAGAATCATCTTGATATATCCGTAGTGGTATGTGACTTGCCATCTGGCCCTCGAACACAGGCACACTTTCAATAGAGAAATAATTCCCGGGGATGACATCAGAAACAGAAAGTAGCGAACAAGCTTGTTTTCATGGCTTCATCATCAGGCTAATACAACCACAATAAAGCAAGTTAGAATAGACACGATGGTTTAAATTGAGTCACTGAAACAGAGTAACTAATCGATAAGTCTACGTGTTTGGTCTGATTGGTCAAGTGAAGTGGCGTGACTGCCATTGTTAGTCGCGTTGATCTCAGGCCAAGGCAAGGCTAAAGTGTGGACGAGCTTTTTCTGTGCACATAGGTCCGGGTTATGGAGCCGAATAGCGAGCGCCTTTGCTGTCGACAGCAGGCGACATCTGACTGCCCGTGTGAAACGTCCAGGGACACAGTAAATCGGTGTGAATGCGTCACGCGAATCGATTTGATGGTCGGAGTCAACTAGGTGCGACAACACTGCACTCGTTATATTCTTCCTCACGCCGCTATAGAGCCAAGCTGGGCAATGCTCTCGAGCCCTAACGGACAGTCGCCTGGTCGTTTTCCCGATATACCTTGCTCGACACGAGCAAGAGAAATTGTACACACAAAAGGAGGTCTGCGACCGAGGTATCCTGTCTTTAAGTTGTTGGCACACGAGCGGTGTTGAAGTGAAGCTTACGCGGAGATTAGCGGCAAAATACGTTCTTTCTGTTGCTAAGGAAAGTCTTCGGGTGGTCCGTTCCGCTATCGCGTCACCCTTAAATGGCAACGATAAGTATACCATCCGCTTCTCCACTGAAACGGGTTTGGGCTTTTGTACTCGTGGTTCCATGTGCCTCTGGATGAATTTCTCAGGGTACCCATTGCGCTCGAGTAAGTTTCGTATAAAACTCAGCTCATCTGAAAGCGTATCATCTGTACATATTCTCCTCGCTCTCTCCGTTAGGCAACGGACGAGGTTCCTTTTTTGACTTATCGGAACAAAGCTAGCGAAATGGATGTACTGCCCATTCCAGGTTGCTTTTCTGTGCACCCTCCTTCGCACTGACCCATCTGATGCCCTTTTGATTTGGATATCTAAAAATGCCAACGTGTCATTATGTTCTAGCTCGATAGTGAAAGTTATATTGCTATGTGCAGTGTTAAACTGGGCCAATAGGTCATCGACGCACATTCCATTATTCGCGATACAAAATATGTCGTCTACGTATCGACCGTAATAAACCAAGCTGTTGATGGATTCGTTCAGCTGGTTGCACTCCAATTTGCTCATGAAGACGTCCGCGAGCAACGGTCCTAATGGTGAACCCATTGCCACCCCGTCTATTTGCCGATATAGCGTTCCATTAAACTGAAACTGAATGTTTCGTGTGCACATGAGTAGCAGTTGTCTCAGCCGGTCTAATGGGATACCAACATTGATGTTGCGCAGCAGGATGAACTCGCACAGATAATCTACGGTCTCCTCCAAGGGAACATTGGTAAAAAGAGACACCACATCTAAGGAGAACATCTGTCGCCCAGCTAGCTCAATTTGTCTCACTGAGTCAAGAAAATCGAAGGTATCTTTGAGACTGTATCTAGCTATGGCTTTCCTGACTGGTTCCAACCGTTTGACGAGCCACTTGGCAGTTGAATGGTACGGTGAGTTACACATATCCAGTATCGGCCTTAGTGGTAGCCCTTCCTTGTGTACTTTGGGCAGGCCATACAATCTTGGAATTACTGTCCCACTCGGTCTGGTGTATTCAAATATATCTGAGTCGATTACATTCTCCTGCTTTAAGCAACGCAGGAGTTTCGTTATGGATCTCTCGATTGCCTGTGTCTTGTCATTCTCATTATCCATTCTACGAAATTTTGACCCGTCAGAAAGAATGGCATACATCTTACTGATGTAGTCCGATCTGTCCATCAGAACAATCCCGGCTCCTTTATCCGGCCTAGACAACAGTATCTTATCGTTTCGCTTGAGTTCTTTAAGGGCGTCTAGATGTTCCTGCTTCAATAGATACTTGGTACATGGTTTATAAGTTAGGTACTCGTAACATGCGTTAACCAGCGTTGATTTATACTGCTCGGCTGCTAAGGTTGAGGACGGCGAAAGTGTAGCTACTTGGGAATAGAGATTCTCAAATTGGACCTCTAAATCTAGCTGTTTAACATAGTTTCGTGGACAACAGAATTTCGGGCCGAGTGAAAGAGCTTCAAGTAAAACCTTGTCTAATGGTACTGAGGAGAAATTGTGAACGTATCTCTCAGGGTCAGGAGGAAATAAGTTCTGTGGCTTACCCACATTGAGTTGTTTCTGCAGTGAGGATAGTCGTACTTCCACTTGTCGTGCCACAATTCTCTGAACGTATGATTCGAACGTCTGGTATTCCTCAGCAGCTAGATTCTCTAGCGCGACAGAGAAAACGCAACGTTTAAGCTCGAGTTCGTTAATCCGAGACACAATTGTATCACGCTCATTCAACGTGTGACGTTTCAAAGCTGTATTAGTGGGATTAATTCCATTACGTCTGAGAATTTTCCAAAAGTGCTTAGGGTATTCACAACGTAAAATGCACTCGTCAAAAAATTGCACTGACGCTCTCGCTACCGCAAGCTTCGTGCTGAACTTAACATACTGGTTAAGTTCTCTAAACACAGTGGGATCCTTGGACTGTTTCAATACTCAAACTAGTTGCTCGTGCTTATCCATTCTCCTAGGTAAATCGTGCTTCGGCAGCATTACGTCACGTGGTTATCTAGGAGTAAGCTTCGTTAGCGGCCATGATGAGTCACCAAACTAACGACTACAATATTACAACCTGGGCGCCAAATGTATCGTGTTAATAAAAGCTGGCTGTACTCACGGGTTGACTGCGCGAGTAGTAAAATGGTGCTCCAAGAAGTGTCATCGGGAACATAAGGTCTGATAGGATCGGTGCAGCATGAGTAGATCGTGATTAATAGCATTGAGTCGTTGCTTTTGAGTAAAAACACATCGGCAATACGTCGGTCCCTCGTACCGGCGCTTCGTTGCCGGGCGACTACCGGCAGACACGAGGTCGCTCGCATATAGGCAGGGGAGAACCGGTGACCAGTGGATCACAATGCACACAGCTGGACCACTCAGCCACTGGCGTGGTATGAATCTGTTCCCAAACCAGTAGTAACTGTTAATCATAAGCAAAGCAACAGATAGGCTGTCGCTCCTATGAAGTTAGTAAATTCCGGGTCATCCACCTCGATGACCGCCGATGCACTGCATTTTTGTTGAGCTGATAGCAGCAGACCACACAGTTTGAGGATAATACAGGTGTATCACCCAGTCAGAGGGTAAAATAAATAAAACCGACAACTTACTTGTTAGCCCGTCTGGAACTGTTCCTACCGAGTCCCATGCAATTTGAAAGATGAGGAGCATACCGTGTGGCAGCAACTTTGGAGTGACACTTGACACATCGACAGCAACTGGCCGCCTTAGCCGAATTGTCGCGTCCGTTGGCAACAGTATTGTTCCCAGAGCGGACTAACGAGGCAGCGTCCCCGATTTCATCGTCAGGCGTGGGATCTGGAGCAATCACATGGAAGTAGCCCAGCTTTATAGCTCGGTGCATAACTAGGATTCCATCCATAATGCACGAATCAATGAGCTCATCAACGAGGTCGTGTAACAACGGTAACGTATGTGGTGAATCGAGTATCGTGTCACTCATTTCTAGGATGGTCATATAAAGCTGTCAAACCGTTCGTCAGGCTGTTGGTATACCGGGACTATAAAAAACAGAAGACAACGTCGATTGGTGAGTGAGATGTAACGAATTAATTCGAGAACAGCTAAGACTGCACTGGCTATTATGCATTCAAGGAAAAACTCAGTTCGTTCAAAGTAGCGGGTGAAAGCACGAAGTAAATAACTGAACATTCCATGCACAGATATAAGATAGAAAAGCTGGATTTTAGCGCGAAGGTTCACCGGTGACCGAGAAAGAATGACGCGTTTGCGTTGTACTCTGGAGATTTCCGGTTTGAATCCGTGTAGGTGTGCGCGACCTCGCGGTACACATAGGGCACGCGCGACCGACGGTAGACCCGTGGCGGCGAAGCGTAGGTATGGTGCGCAGGTGTGTTTACATGTCATTAGAAATCCTCCTACTCATAATTACTCAAAATATCGGCCATCAGTCTTTAAATGCTGTGTGGATATAACTACTGTGTGGCGGAAGTTGTAACCTCGGGAGGCTAGCCACTGTCCTTGCAATGGTAGGAACCTGCATGGCAGTGCAGGATAGGTCGCGCAATATCCCGGTTAGTTTGCAGGTTATGATGGTCTGTCTGAGGCCCCCATGCCTTTGTGGCATAATCTGTTGGATAGTCGGTGTAAACTCTTAGCGGCCCTGGGTTCGATCCCCCGCAAGGGACCGAAGGTGTGCGCACCACTGATGAGCCCCAATAGGATGAAACGATCGTCTAGTGACTTTCAAGACTGTGGTTAGACTATCTGATTTATGAGTAACTGGGAGGAAACCGCAAAATTTCACTAAAAGTCGTTCTACTCTAAGTAGATTCGTGATTTGTTAGTTGTGCGGATATATAGTGAAGGAAGAATAAAAAGGAGCATTTAGGAAAGAGGTAACTGAAAACAAATTCGCGATTTTATGGGATAAAGGTGGTAAAATAACAGCTTCGCGAATATCAGTTGGCTGCGATCGTCGAAGTGCGAAAATCCCGTGTGCTATGAATACCCCACATTATTTCAGTTCACCCACTTATCCACATATTCGAAAACAATATCACTTGAGCGCACAAGAACAACATGAGTTATACGAGTTCGTCGAGGAACGAATGGGTCATGGAGACAAGTATTAGGGATCAAGGATCCCACCATTAAGTGTGCTAGATCGTGAAATATGTAGTGAGTTTTATCACATCGTGTATGGCAATCCATAAACGCAACAGGGGCCCACATCTGCTGATATAGGTGTCAAGTGTCCGCGAAAGAGCTGATCCCTGCCAGTTCCGCATAAAATTGCATACTGGGAGTGCGAAACAAGAGAAAGCCAGCGCTGCTCGGCATTCTTGTAAATTGTGCGCCTCAGTGATCCATTGAGCTATGCTGGGTGGTGCTTTTTGCACCTTCAGAGCCATTCATACCACATTGGTCAATGGTTAGAGGCCTGACAAACTCAGTCTCCTGGCACTCCAGGTGGGGGGTTGAAGTGAGGGTGGCTCCTTACTCCATAAAACGGGCTCTCTGTAGTCCAATGTCAAAACCCCGCTGAACGACGGTAAGGTTTTTGAACCAATGGCTGCGCAACCTGACAGTATCCTGTCCACGCAATACACCATGACCTTTCCTTTTAACAATCTTTTGATGCTCGGGCCGTCGCAGAGGATAATAAACGGCGCCCTATCTGCTGCATTGAACAGGGTGGATAGGAGTTTGGATGCTAATGCCCAGGCCTTCCCGCCTTCTTATTCCCACTGTTGCGCTTTTTCATCCTTAGCGCCCCGTTCTAACTTTACTTTCGTCCCCCCGTTTTCAATCCTCCAATTCCTGGCCCTCCCTCACCTTGCTTGAATAGTTGCTTGTCTTCTAGTTTCACCTCACATAAAATCGCAGGGCGTCGCTCCAATCCAGTTGACAAATCCATGTTCAACCAAGCGGACAACGTCAGTTCAGCCGTTTCCCCTTGGAGTCCTCGATCTGCGCTAAGACTGACATGCCTCAATGTGTGCACTTTGATATAGATTGACCAACAGGCAGCACTCGCCCGAACACTCGAGACCCTCTCGATCGATATCTGCTGTTTAAGGAAAACCCACCTGCACGATTCGAACTCCGTGTTTACTCTGCGATTCCCCACATGCGACACTGGCGGCACATTCTCACTGATCTTGTCAGGCGATGATGCAGCTTTAAATGCGAGTCGAGCTGGCGTCGGCACTGTTTTGAGTCCCCGGGCTGAAGCTACCTTGATCGACTGTATCCCTGTCAACAGCCGAATGTGCGCCGTTAGATTAGCTGGCTCGTTCCAGGCTACAGTCGCGAAGGGACAAACGGTGCCTGTTTGTCATTGTGGCTTACGCCTCCACAAACTACAGCCCCGATTCGGTGAAAGATGATTTTTATCACTAACTTAACGATTTTCTTAGTTACAGAAGCATGGATAGTGTGGTGCTTGCTGGTGATTTAAACGCCCTAGTCGGAAATTTGTTCTCTGATGAGCATCACCAGGGCGGCCAACATGGTGTAAGCTCCCGTAATGATAACTGTGAGCGGTTGCTACACCTGTGTGAAGGTTCTCGTCTCTTTCTCGCGAGCACTTTCGACACAGCACCCGCAGAAGTGTGACTTGGAGCCCACCAGTCGCGGGCAGAGAATGGACGTAAATCGATCACATCGCGATTAGTTACCGCTGGAGAGGCTGTGTCCAAAACTGTCGCTGGATTTGGAGAACCAGCGTGGACTCCGATAACGCTATCGTGTGTGCCGAACTGCGGGTGCGTTTCGGCGGACGTCCGCAAAGTCGCTCTGAGGGCATTGATAACAGCCAGCTGGCGAAGCCGGGTGTTTTGAATGCATATCAAACTACGCTGACATCTGGATTGAGTAAGCGTCCATTAAACACCGTCGAATATCACTGGTCGCATATTCGTCAAACGTTACTGTCAGCAGGCATGTCTTCATGGTAAATCAAATTGCCAAGCTGGACATTGGGTCTCTACAGTCTCTGGAACTTATGGATGCTCGCTGAGGTATTCCGGGTGGAAGCGAATACAGTGAGACTCGCAAAAATCTCAGGGTAAAACTGCATGCTAGCCTAAAGAGAGAGCGCAAAGCGTGGTGGTCTCGTCCTGTATGGAAAATGGAAACAGCCGCTACCGTTGGTGATCATCGTTATTCTATCTGATACGGGAAACAGGCAGCAGAAGACCTGGTGTTAGCGAGACAATACGTGGCGAGAGTGGACAGCCGATCCACAGCTTGTCAAAACGCTTGGAGTCTTGGGTCGAACACTTTGCAAGGCAGTTTAACCAGCCTGGGTTATCGCTTTCTCTTTTGGGCAATGAGTGCCCTTCTCCATGGGCCGTCTCCTTAGATCCGCACTCACACGCAGAAGTCGAACGTGAGAGCAGACTGTTGAAATTGCATAAGGCCGCTGGTGCGGACAGAATTCTCCCAGCTCTCTACAACTACTGGGGAGCTGCTCTTGTGGATGATTTACACGAGTTGCTAGTGAAACTTTGGGAGCAGGAAAATGTCCCAACAGACTGGAGCCGCGCCATAGTCCCAATTTTCAAGGGAGGCTCTCGTTCGAAATGCGGCATTCATAGAGGGATCAGTGTGATCTCAATTACTTCTAAATTGGTTGCCTCTGTCGTTATCCATAAACTGACTGGCGCTCGTGAAGGCCAAATCCGCGAAGAGCAAGCCGGGTTTCGTCGAAATGGAGGCTGCATCGACCACAAATTCACTTTGCGTGAAGTACTGGAGCAAGCCATGTTTATTGGCAACCCACCGTTGTCCAGTCTCTTGACATAAAAAGTGCCTTCGATTCGGTGGATCGATGTGCCCATTGGGACTGTCTGCTGAGAAAAGTGTGTCCGATAAATATGAAAACATTATTAAAGCGCTGTACGGGCATAGTTCGGGCAGAGTGAGGGTTTATGGCAAACTGTCGCCACCCTTCAGTATCACCAGCGGTGTGAGACAACATTGCCCGTTGTCACTTTTCCACTTTAACTTCGCTATTGATGAAGTCAGGGAAACAGCGTTCGCTGGACACGACTTAGGTGTGGAGCTACTTCATGGTGAGCGACCTCTTGACTCAGAGTATGCAGACGACATTGTCCTCACCTCTGATAGCTCATAAACGTGCCAAGCAGCACTGGACCGGTTAGCACCGGTTGTCAATCCTTTTTGAGCTATGCTTTGCTCGATCGAAATGCAAAGTACCTCTCCAAGATTGGCAGGGACCCACTCCTGCGCTAACCCTTGGTCGTGATCAGCTAGAAGTCGTTCAGGAATTTAAGTAGCTGGGCAGCTATACTAGCCCCCGTGGAATCGAAGATGAGATTACGAACCGTAAAGAAAAAGCTCGAGGTGCTTTTGCCAATCTCCGCAACAGGTGGAGCAGACGCGATATTACTCTCACCCTGAAGGGCCGAGTTTATAACGCAGCCGTCCGTTCAGATCTCCTATATGGTTGTGAAACCTGGCCTATCATGTCGATAGACGTAAAGTGGCTGGTCACGCCCGATCATCGCTGCCTTCGCAGCATAGCTCGTCTGGTGGGAGCATCACGACGAGACTGGACCTTGACGTAGTGCGACGGTTTACATGCCTCCTTGAACCATTGAGTCCACTGAGAGCTACTCCTACCAGGTTGGTCACTGGTGAGAAGTCAGACAAACGCAGTCTCCTGGTTGGGGATTTGAAATGGAATGGCGTGCGTTAATGTAAAACTAAATCAATGCCACCTCCCCGCTGCCTTGCGCACAGGCTTTTAAGCCAAAGGCTTTGGATGAGGACCCTAATCGTCTTCCTGTCTAGATCTGGGCGCCCTGGCAGTATCTCAGCCCACATACAATCATGACTTTTTCTTCAAACATACATCCATCCTGCATCCGCCGCAGCGCAGATTATAAAGGGTCGCCTTATCTGCTATATACAGCAGGGCGGATAACCTAAAACATGCTACTGATCGCGCCTCCTTCCCTTTCCACCTGTTTCTCTTAATCCCATCCCGACAACCATAACTAACCTTCCTT